TTCTTTGTTGTTTTTGGTACTGGGGATCAAACCCAGGACCTTGAGCTTGCAAGGCAGGTGCATTGCCACTGAGCTAAATCCCTGGCCCTGGCCAGTTGATTTTTAAATAAAAGGGAACAGAATGTGCCAAGGTGCAGAGGTGAGTCAGAGCATGGCACACTCCAGGAAATGGAAACATTCATTATGACTAGGTATAGTGAGCAAAGGTAAAGTGACAAGAAAGGAGGGAGAGGGCTGGGGATTTGGCCCAGTGGTTTCACCGCCTGCTGCACAAGCGCAAGGACCTGAGTTCAATCCCTGGTACCAAAAAAAAAAAAAAAAAAAAAAAAAAAGGAGGGAGGGATACCCAGTAACAAACTGTTGGGGTTTTAAAGAGATCCAATTAATCATGTGTTAGTCCATTTTCATCGCCATCACAAAATACCTAAGTCTTGCAAACTTGTGAAAGAAAGCTGTTTGTTTAGCTCATAGTTTTAGAGGCTGAAAATCTAAGATTAGGTAGCCCCATCAACTTGACCTCTGGCAAGGGCGCCATAGTTACAAGATGTCATGGGAGATACATCATGGCAGGAGCATGTGTGAGAGGGAAAGGTCACAAACAAGATGAGAAGTCACAGGGCAGGGATGGATCAGTCTCACTTTTTTATAACACCCCTTTCAGGAGAAATAACTCAGGGCCCCACAAGTGCTACCTCAACCCCTTCCATGGATGGCACTCACAATGATCCAACAACATTGAACTGGGCACCACTAACTAACATCCCACAGAGGACCATGCTTCCAACACATGGACATTTGGGCAGCACACTCAAGCCATATCACAAGGCTTGTCTTCCCTTTGTGTTCTCTATCAACTAGGAAATGGAAGCTGAAGTTAGATTGGGACCAAAACATCAGCTTTATTGCTAGTAAAGCTGAGTTGGAGGATGTGGCTTGAACCTAAAGTCAAGGTGAGCTTTCTACTCCCTGCCTTTATCCACCACCCTCAACTATAGGAAGAGGATCTGTACACATCACTCCATGTGGGGGCTCACCACTTGAGAGAGAAAAGAGTATGGGCAGGCAAAGGCAGGCAGCCTGATAAAACAATCCAAAGAGCAAAAATCCTCTGGATAGTAGCATCGGTAAGTTAGGTTACTCCCATACCAAGAAGAAGCAGTGAGGAGCCAGAGAGAAATGCAAGATGCGTTTCTACATGAAATTCTCCTTGAGAGTGGAATAAAACAGCTCTTCACCTTGTGGGAAACCCAAGGATCTGTATAATTAGGAGTGCCTCACTTATATACAGTTCAAATGATGAAGAAGTTGGGGGTCACTTAGAAACATGGGTTCACATCCCGAGTGATATGATCAGATTTGAGTTTCTAAAAGATTGTTCAAGTTGTGGTATAGAGAATATATAAGTGCGGCAGAAAAAAGAAACACAGAGACCCTGAACAACTTTCCTTAGCTAATGCAGCTAAGAAGTAACAGACTTGTTTCCAACTCTAGACCTCACAGTTTTAACCTCACAGTATTCACCCTGTTACTTCTCCCTCTGTTTTTTAAAAAAATTTTATTTTGTATTTTAATTTTTTGGTACCAGGGATCGAACGTGGGACCTTGCTCTTGCCAGGTAGGCGGCAAAACCACTGAGCTAATTCCCCGGCTCTTCTCCCTCTGTTAACATCAAAAGCTTTCCTCACAGTCTATCGAAGTTGCTTCCTGGATAAGAATCCAACTTGCCATACACTTTACATTGTTAGTAGCTGTGAGTGGGAAAAAGCTTTCATCAACAGACTTCTACAGAAGCTAAGAGGGCAAAATTAGTGGTTTCCCTCAACTCTGATGGCGGGATACAGGCCTGTGCCCACAGCTGGTCCTAGTGGATGCTATGTCGAGGTGCAGGTGATGGAAAAAAGTGGGAGAAAGTTCAGAATTCATACTGGTGACGGCAGGGTTTGGGTGCCAGGGCCCAGGAACACCCGTGCATGGCAGGGATGTCTCCGGAGGCCAGTGCTGGGCAGGTCGGCAGCACCTTCGCAGACCACCTTAGTGTGACCTTGGTTGCAGCACTGGCCTTTCCACTGCCCTTGACTCCCAGCATTTACTAAGCCCCCTTCTCCAGAATGTGTAGAGCACAGTCAGAGTCACATTCAGAGTCACTTTCACTTGGGTATTTCTCACCCACCCTTTGTCTTCTCTCCCATTGCCTCTAGAGAATGACCCATCTGTTCCTTTTGAGTTACCCCCTCAAAGCTTGCACCAGAATTTCCTGTATGCCAGATCTCTTCTCCAAGTCCCACATACATCTCTCCTTTACTTCTTTTCAACATGGCACATTTAAATGTTTTAATAACTTTAGGGGAATTAAAAAAATAAAGTCCAAAAATTTTAAGACATCTGCAAATCTTGATAGAGGTTATGATTCAAAGTCCATAAGAATATAAATGACAATACTAGAAACTATACCAGTAAGTGAAATAGATTACTTAACACTTCATTATCTACCAAGCATGTGCTAAGCAATTTTCTTCTATCTATACAGTCATCTATTTAATAAGTATTTCTTGAACATCTACTATGTGCCAAGCACTATTCTATGCACCAAAAATACACTGGTGCAAAACACAGGGAACATTCCTGCCCCATGGGAAACTACATTTTAGCAAAGGGATGAAAATCATAAAAAATAAAGAAGTGATTTCAGGTAATACAAATAATTCTGTAGTAAAGACTGACAGGAAAGCTACTTTTAATATTTACAACAATCATGTGAAACTCAGAAACCATCTTAATCATGCTTTGAGATAAGGAGGGCCAGTGCTCATGCAGGTACCAAAAATGGAGCTGTGGCCATCAAAGGAAGGACTCACATCAGAGGAAACTGCTGTTTCCCAGGGGTATCCTTCTTCCCCAATGGAGGAGATCAGAGCTTTCTGCTCAGACCCTCACCTCTACCTGCAGTCCCACCATTGCTGGAACAGCCCCTGGGGTTAGAGTCATCAGGTTTCAAAACAAAAATAGAGGGCAGCTGGTTAAATTTGGATTAATTCAGTATAAGTATGACCCAAATATTTCACCAAAAAAGATTAAAGCAGCTGGATCTGTCTGGCTAAATATTTCAGGAGACATACTTGGACTAAAACCTTGCCTGTGTTTTATTTCACCACGAGGATAAGAGAAGCCTGAAGGCACCTAGGGCTGAGCCAGTCCAGTTCCCTCAGGTCCTCCTGATTTTTCCCCCAAGCTCAGCTCAGAACAAAAGAGAAAAAAGGTGAGGTCTCTTTGTCTTTGTCTTCTTCAGACAGCAACTGCATCAGAAAGTGCTTCCTTGGAATTAATTTTGATGCCTCCTGTTATATTTCCAGTCACAATCTAGCTTACTCTGCCCTCGATAAACTGAGGAAAAGGAACTTCACGTCCTTGCCATCAGATCCTTTGCTTCATAAGAATATTAAATGTCTATCTGGACCCTCCCCATTCTCTTCACTGGGGTGTTGAATTCCAACTCATTCCTGATTCTTAGTCCAAATGTTTCAGAAACATTTTGGCTCAGCAATTCCACTTTAGAATTTTAAGCTAAGAAAAGCAAAAATAAATGTATAAAGATATAAGTGTAACAAAATCTATCTCAACAGCATTTAAAAAATTTTTTTTCTTTTGGTACCAGGGATTGAACTCAGGACCTTGCACTTGTGAGGCAGGCAGCAGCACCACTGAGCTAAATCCCCAGCTGAATAACATTTATGACAAAAGATTTTGATTTCAATGAGTTTGATTAAAATTACAGTACATCCTTAGAGTAGAATACTAAATCACGATTAAAATCATGATTAGAATTCTCTTAATATGATACAACATTACAGTGTAGCTTAAATGTAGGTAGAAAATTACATTACAGGTCAATTTAGATAATATAATCTCATTTTTAGTTTTTAGAAATATGCACATATATATGTAGAGAGAGAAAGAGAGAGAGAGAAAACAGACTACATTATTAACACCAAAATGTTACTAGTTGTTTTTTTTCTGGATGCAAAATTCCCTGCAATAAACAGTGCTATTTTTGTAAATGGGGATGAAAAATCAATGGCTAGTTAAAGACCCTCATTATCGTGCCTTGAGAATGATTTCCCTACTTGCATCCCCTTCCCTCCTGTGGCTTATAGCTGAAAGAGAGTTTGTGAACAGGCAAGACCTGGCATCCTAAGAAAAGTGAAAAGGTGCTGGATCCTCTGGCCAGCAAATTAAGGTGGAATCCAAGTACAGTTTTTTGCAAGAAAAAAAGTGACAATTTGAGAGTCTAAGCACCAGATCAGGCCTTTTGATTCCATTTACATATGAAAGAGGGATGTTAATGTCTACCCTAAGACCTGAGGGGAAGTGAAGAGCAGTCTGGCAAGACATGGGAGAACTTGAGTAGCGAACACTAACATCTCAGGAATCCTGGAGCTAGCTAGCTAGATAGATAAGAGGCAGTTAAGAGTGAAATACCAGGACAGATGCTGCTCCATCTAAAGTAGCATGAAGCAAGATTCAGTGCCTGAAATTCCAAAGTCGGTGAACTGATCCCAGCCCATGTTCCTTCCCTGTCACCTCAAACACCAAGGCTAGACTTTGCAGCTGGAGTAAATATTTTGTTGCAGCAAAGTTGACTGATGTCAGAAAGAAGTTTGCAATGAAGAAAGGCTTCTGAGGGAAGACTAGGAATTGCTAGGTCATCATACATGACTATCACAGCAGCCTTCCTTCCTCAACTTCCCAACTTCAAGTGTGTTTGCCCAGATCTGTACCTGCAGTCAAGTTAGGTCAAGGACATAAAAACAGACTTTAGAAGCCAAGCCCTGAGCAGCATATCTGTGCCTTGGAGCCTTGCTCTGGGTGGAGCAAGGAGCCCACTCACACTAACACACAGCAGGCCAGACCCTGTGGACTGCAGGTCCAAGCTTCCCCCTTCTCCTTGAAAGTGGCCAAGGATCAGACCCTTAGCTCCAAGAACTCAGGAGGGGAGTGGGATGTCAAGGGCTCCAGAGGAACCTATTCGTGAGCCTCCTCATGGCCCCTGTGACCTCCTTGTTTCTCAGAGTGTAGACAAAAGGATTGAACATAGGGGTGACAACTGTGTAGAAGACAGCAATGATCTGGTCCATGTCTGGAGAAGAGGCTCCTTCAGGCCTCAGATAAGCCACAGTCACAGTTCCAAAAAACAGAATGACCATAGACAGATGGGAGGAGCAGGTAGAGAAGACTTTTTGACGACCCTGGGATGTTGCTACTCCAAGGATGGTGACAAGAATACAGGAATAGGAGGCCATGACCAGCAAGAAAGGGGTCAGGAAAAGGCTATTGTGATGGCAAGGTCCCCCACTTCACCCCGGAAGGTGCTCCCAGTAGCCAGTCTCAGCACAGGCAGGATGTCACACAAGAAGTGGTGGATGGTGTTGGCACCATGGAAGGGCAAGGTGAAGATGCAGACGGAGTGAGTGGTGCCAGTGATGACACCCATGAGGTAAGAGGCTCCCACCATGCAATTACATGCTCCCTGGTTCATCATGGTGGTATAATGCAGTGGCCTGCAGATGGCAGCATAGCGGTCATAGGCCATGGCAGTGAGCAAGCAGCACTCAGTGACCCCAAAGCAAGAAAAGAAATACATCTGGGTGAAGCAGCTGGGAAGTGGGATGGTGGGGTGAGTGGACCAGAGATCGATCAGCATCCTGGGCACAACGGTGGTGGTATAGAGGATCTCCACCAGGGAGAAGTGGCGAAGGAAGAAGTACATGGGGGAGTGGAGGGCAGGGTCAGCCAGTGTGAGGACAATGATCAGGGAGTTGCCCAGCAAGGTGACCATGTAGATGCAGAGCACCCCCCAAAAGAGGGGGACCTGGAGGGAAGGAAAATCTGAGAACCCCAACAGAATAAACTCAGTCACTGCTGTGCCATTGTCACCAACCATGTTTCCAAAGTCAGACTGTAATAAGGAGCTGGAGAAGGTCTCACACAGCACCAGGAGGCAAAGAAGCAAAGACAAGGACTTTGGGAAGAAAAGTGTGGGAAAGTCCACAAGAATGTCCTAGTTCTCAAAACTAGGATGGGGGATCATGTGGCCTGTTGGTGTCTTCTTCCCAGAAAAGTGTTGCAAGTAGAAGGATAAGAAAAAAGGCAGATTTCCCTGGAGGCTGGGTACTGGTGAACACCAGGATTTTTTTCCCCACTTAACTAGGGGCTGGTTCTTAAGAGTAAAGAGCTGGGAATGGAAGGACAGCTCCACTTAAGAAAGGGTTAAGAATATGAGAAGAAAATGGGGGCCAAACAGAGTAAATGAAGCTGGAAGAAGACAGGAGTAAAATTGGATCCATTGTGAGGCAGAGAAGGAAAAGGAATGAGAGAGCAACAGCACAGGAGAGAAAGAGACACAAGATATAAAAGATCACAGTGAGACATCCTGCGGGGCTTTTACTTGGAGAGGTCCCCACGGCTCTCAGAGTGCCCCTCCCCAGCAGTTCATCACAACAGCTTGGTCTCCCCAGAGCCTGATTCCCAGAGCAGAGGGTAGGGAGGGAAATCAGATAGGGGAAGATGAAGAATGGGGGAGGAAGTGGTTTCCACTTGCCATACCAGAATGCTTAAATTCTTGCCAGCAGGCCTGGGTCTGGAGCATCCTGGCATGTGTCCAGGGTCCCTCTGCTGGGTTTGAAGGGAGTGGGGCTCATAAACCTAGTGTTCTAAATCCCTGGTCAGTTGATGCAAACTGGATTGTTTGGCCCAGTTTCCTTAAGGGCTGCCTCCTGCCCTATCTGTTCTCAGCCTTCTCTCCCACGCCTGGAAAGCACTTAAAAAATGTTTTTGCAATATAGTGCTAATCCTCAAAGAAAATAGTTATTGAGATAGTTACTGAGTCTGACTTCTGGAAGACCAACTCCACCCAAGTTTTGACTATCACCCAGCTTCTGAGAGACACTGCAGTGTCCTGTGAACTTTAGAAATGAGAAACACTCTCTTAGAGATGCAGCTGGGGATGGCAAAGGTGACCTGAAAGGATGACATGAGTAATGATGGTTCAAAGTCTAAAGATCACAGAGGAAGCCAAGTGCTTTGAAGTTTGTGTATTGATTAAATGAGAAGTTTTTCTCATTGCCACAGTTTCATGCCCTATTTAGTGCTCTAGGAAGCTTCCTCTAATTCAAGGCAGCCTATGATTTTTAGATTATTTTCTTTCTCATTTTGTGAAAGTTTTAAAGTATTTCAGCTGTGCCCACACTTGTAATTGAATCATTCAGGTTATTGGAGACAGAAAGATCATGAGTGTGAGCCCAGA